GGAGCTATTAATTAGCATATCTTTTAAAACTCTGGTTCCTCACGGCGCACTACGATGTGATGATGGCTATGTCGGATTACGATATCATAGGCAAGGAATCGTACGTTTTTTACGAATCCGATGTGTGCGGTGAGGAATCAGACGTCATAAATTTATATGTGCATTATTTCTTACAATTTATTTTCTTGCATAGGATTGGATTATTGCGCCGGATGGGTACGATGCATATTATTGTAGCGGGGAATGCAACTTCCCATTGAACGCTCATATGAACGCAACTAACCACGCAATAGTTCAAACTCTAGTGCATTTGGTGAGCCCGGGCAAGGTACCCAAGCCATGCTGCGCACCCACCAAACTTTCAGCCATTTCTGTCTTGTATTTCTTGGACGAGAGCAATGTCATCTTGAAGAAATATAAAAACATGGTTGTTAAGAGTTGCGGCTGCCATTAGATTTTTCTTTCCCAGCCAATTGATAGAATTGAAAAACAACACTCATTGTTGCAGATGCCAACTGAACTAGATGATAATTTCATAATCAAATGAACAATATTTCCTCATTGCTTTCGGTTTTTATTATTCAGATGCGGTCTTTGAGCCTTTTAAAAGTATAAAGACATGTGAGACTGCTCTAAAAAAGAATTAAAATATGAGATTGCTCCAAAAAAGAATAATGAATATTGACGAATATTATAAAAAATATTATTTTGTGTTGGGCATAATTTTATCATTTTTATACAAATTAAATTGCATGTATATAGGATGTCTCATTAAGATCGTAATAACACTTAAGAATAGGTTATTGAGATCATTTTGAGACAAAAGTTCTAATATCACAATTTTCGAGGCTGTAATAAATAATTTATGTTAGATATTTAAGTTGCAAATATGTGTTGTAAGTATTTAAAATTAGTGAACCAAGTTATTTAAAATTGTACGTTCAAATGTGACACAATTTACAGTGTTAAAACGAAAGTCGACTGTCCATTTCATCAAGATATTGTTATGTGGATACGTGTAAAAATAATGTATTTCAAGACTAATAAATAATTCGCGCTCAATAATCTTGAACTGAAAATTGTAAGATTACGTAAAAATATTATTAAACACCAAAATATGCTTCAACAAATATCAACATGATGTCCAGCAGTCCTTGAATAGTTTTGGAATTATACTGAAGTTTTATATGTTCTGAAAAATTCTTGGAAAATCCCTGAAATTTCAGGGTTAGCCTTTAGTATTCTTTCATTCTAAAAACGTTAGAGCGTGAAAAAAAGAAATAATATAAAGAAAAGTTATGTTTGGGCATAAATCCTTCTTTAAAAGTGCTATCTTTTTTAAAAAGTTATCAATAGAAAACTTGAGTTTATCTAAAATAGAACATAGTAAAAGTCGTTTGTTGACGGAACGTTCGTTTGATTATTTATAAGGCAATAAATAGTATTGTTTCCAATTTATTTGCGTTTTAATTTCATTTGTATAGAATCCTAACTTGAATACAAAGCGTATAATATTGCACGAATCGTTGAAAATTAATTAAATAATGAAAATGAATCGATGAATAAATCCTGGGAAAACCAGGATTTTTACATAAAAATGTTCTGGAATTATCCCTGAACTAGTCAGATTTTACTGGACATCATGATTGAACATTTCTCGAATTTCACTTATTATTGTTTATTTATACGTCAGCTGAAAAAAATGTTTTCAAAAAATATACTATTTTTATTTTTTTTTTGTGATAAGTATTATCATGTCTCAATAATCGAATTGATAAAATATCCGTCATGGAACGAAGGAATTTCAGATTTGAATCATGATTGGGATGATATTTTTCATCATAAATTTTTTATAGTGTTTTGACAATACTCACTAGCATCAATTATTAAATTGCTTATTAATTTCCGGTAAAAAAATTTGCATACATAATTATATAGAACTATATAAAATTATATAAAATTATAATTATATAAAATTACATAAAAATATATATAAT